TTGATCTTTTTGAGACAGGATCTCCCTATAGCCCCAGCTGGCCTTAAACTCACAGAGATCCGCCTGCCTCTGCCTCCCGAGTGCTGGGATTAAAGGCGTGCACCACTATGCCTGGCTATTAAGTATTTCTTTTTTAAAAAAATATTTATTATTTGTATGTGTATGTGTGTTTTGCCTGCATGTAGCTAAGTGCACCCGTATTGTGCAATGCCCACAGAGGACAGAAGGGGCTGTCAGATCCCGTGGAACTGGAGTTACGGACAGTTGTTAGCTGCCATGGGGGTGCTGGGATTCAAACCTGGGTCTTCTGCAGGAACAGCCAGTGTTCTTAACCGCCAAGCCATCCCTCCAGCCCCCTATTAAGTATTTCTTAAGTATGAATATCTGGATCTTAAGTATATTAAAAACCTGGCAATTCATATTTCAGGGTTATCTGACTCACTGCCTTAGTAGTCTAGAACATTTTAATGTTTTCTTTTTCTTAATGGTCATAGATAAACTTCATTCTTTTGAATTTGAATATTCCATATTCTTTCTTTATATTTTACATGTATGACTTTTTTGACTCCATGTATGTTAAGTACACCTGTGTGTGCAACGCCTGTGGAGGTTAGAAGAGGGTGTGAGGCGCCCTGGAACTGGGGTTATAGATGGCTGTGAGCCACCAAGTAGGTGCTGAGAACCGAACCTGGGTCCTCTACAAGAGCAGTCAGTGCTCTTAAGCACTGAGTCAGCTCACCAGCCCCTGAATATTCTACATTCTAAATAGAACCGATACTAAAAAAATTAAAGGCACAATAATGCCGCTGTACTTTTCATGACAAAGTTTCAGTCTACAACATGAATGGTCCTTGAAGAAATGATGCTAATAAACCAACCAGAAGAGACAAATAGGCATGAGTCCATTTAATGCAATAAAACAGTCAAAATCATAGAGACAGAAAGCAGGATGGTGGCTGTGGGAAGGCAGGACAGTGTTTAGTAGGCAGAGCTTCCATTCTACAGACAGAAAAAGCTGACAGCGGTATTCATGAATGCACCCAGTAGCAATGAACTGCACACTTAGAAATGGTTAGGACAGGAAATTTTCTGTACTATTATTACCACAATATAAAATTTTTAGAAGCAAAGATGTGTCCATTGTTTTAGTGCTTAAACTCCATTATGTATGGGTTAGACTTTCGTAGTATACACCTGCAGCCAAAGGCACGGACATTTACTGTGCAATGACGTACAGCCAACAAGGAGCCATGATGGAAGGCACTGCTACCTTTGTCTAGTTTCCTAGCTCTGGACAGCTTCTCCTGAGATTTCCTTTTTAGCTCACTGACTGGAATACAAGTCAATGCTTTCTCCTGGAGGACAGGGTTCTCATAGAGCTCTACATGTTGAATGTTGGACTGAAGGACTTTTAGAATGGTTGAATCAGCAACAATCTAAAGAGAAAAAAAAATACTCAAATTAGCTGTTTACAATATGCTACAAAAATTACATGATAAAAATGATGTGATTCTATGTTGCAGATAAAGTGGAACATATGGATTCAATGAAAACCAATTGCATGCACACATTTACAAAATCAGTATTAGGTCAGGTGTGGTGGCACAATTCTTTAATCCCAGCATTCAGGAGGCAGAGGCAGGAGGATCTCTGTGAGATCAAGGCCAGCCTGGTCTACATAGTGAGCGCCAGGCCAGCTGGATTATAGGGAAACCGTCTCAAACCAACCAAAATTAGTATTAGGAGACAGTGCATTGTGTCAGTCTGTTCTCCCCTTGGTCCTACTGAGGACATAAACTACATGTGCTGAACTCACAAGCTTTGATGAAGACGGTGTTGAGCAAATGTGTCTGGTGGCCTTTTCAATACAGACCCTTGTAACATACTGTGTTACAGAGGAAGCAGGATTTTTCCAGATCAAGAATGTCATTGAAGATGTTGATAATGCCCATAGTGATGGGCAACAGCTAAAATTTAGATCGCAATTGTAAACGCAACAGAGGAAATCGATGAGCCTGATGGGCACAAACATCTGTTAAGCAGTTTGTTTTAGGTTAAAAACACGCTCATTTCTATAACTGATTTATGTTACAGGCAGTAGGTACATTTATAAATGATAGCTAAACAAAACTTTAGTTGGGTCAAGGAGCAGTATGCCACAAGTTGTTTTAAAATATAAATACAAAGGCTGGGCATGGTGGTACACATCTGTAATCCCAGCACTCAGGATGAAGTGAAGGGCTCACGAGTTAGAGGTCAGCCTGAGCTACACAGCAAGATACTCTCTCGAAGGAACAAAGGAAGGGAGGGAAGAGATAAAACCATCTCCCCACCTTTGCTACAACTATGACATTTTGAAGCGTTAACCAAATCAAAGACATCGAAGTTGTAAAAACCAAGACATTTGAGACTTAAATGCAAGTTTGCTATTTCAACACTGACAGAGCATTAAAGAATGTTGAATTCCAACACTACCTTTGGCGCAAAGGATGCTCTTGGAGGCTGCCCTGGTTGGTCTCCTGGGTGCTGGGCTAATGCATTCGGACCTGCAGACCATGCTGTGGGAAGCTGGGGACTGGCAGCAGGCTGCTGAGGCAACCCCGCTTTCGTATCTGACCCACCCAATCTGCTGCTTCTCTCCAGGGCGATCAGGTCTCGGATTTTCTGCAGCTGCTCCACTGAAGCATTTTTAGGAAAGATAAGATGTGTTTCACCCTGTAATTTACACAATTGAGAAAAATCTTAATCGATGCTCTAAATTGGCAGTTATTCTTAATACACTGTGAAGTCAGTACTATAGAAAGTATTCCAATTTTAACAAACACTATTTTTTTAGCAAAATTAAGAAACTGTGTTTCCTTGCCATTTAATACAGTTCAAAGGACCTTTTTTATTTAGGATTTTTTTTTTTTTTTGAGATAGGGTCTCATGCATTCCAGCCCCCAAAATTGCTATATACCTTAGGATGACCTTGGACTTCTAGGCCCCCCCACTTGCTAAGTGCTGGGATTACAGATGTGTGCACCCAAGCCTAGTCTATACAGTACTGAGGCTCAAATACCGGGCTTCACGCGTGCTTGGCAAGCAGCACACTATCAACTGAACCTAGCCTCAGGAGACCTAGAAAAATGTATAATCTTTTTAGAATAGATCATAGAGGAACAAAATGGGGGTTGGAGAAACAGCTCAGCAGTTAAGAGCACACGTGGCTCTTGAAGAAGACCTGGCTTTGGTTCTCAGCACCCATATCGGGTCAGTCACAACTGCCAGTAAGTCCAGCTCCAGGGGATCTGAAGCCCTCTTCTGGCTTCTGAAGCCACTGTGTACCTTCATGTACTAGCATACATACATATACATAAATAAAAACAAGTATTTTTTAAAAGAGTGGCAAAATGCATATTCTTATATTCTTCTCTATTAAATTCTCTACAAAATAGTGATAGAGATGCTGCCACACAAAAGACCTGGACCCAGTGGCACAGACCTAAATCCCAGCTAATCAGGAGACTGAGGCAGGAGAATCCCAAGTTCAATGCTGGCCTGGGCAACTTAGTGAGCTGTCTCAAAACTGAAAGTTTAAAAATAAATAAAGGCTGGGAATGTAGGTCAGTGGTATAATTAATGGTTGCCTAGCATCATGAGGCACCAGGTTCAACGTCCAGTACACATATATACACTCATGCATAAAATAAAAAATAATAAAAAAATTAAGATGGAGAGTGATAGAGGAAGACAACCTTTGGCCTAACTCCACACACACACACACACACACACACACACACACACACAGAGGAAGGGATCAGGAAGGAGTCACATAAATTAGTTAAGAAGTTCGAACACATAATAGGATAACTATGGATGACAACAATTGACTGTTTCAAAGTAGTTAAAAGGATTTAACTCCAGTTCCAGGGGATCCAGTGCCCTCTTCTGACCTCCTCAGGTATTGCATGACATGGATGCACTCACATACATGCAGGCAATACACGCATATACATAAAATAAAAATAATAAATAAAATTTAAAAATGTTTAAAAAAATAAAAGGATTTTCATTATTTCTAACTCAAAGAAATGATATACATCTGAGGTGGTATGTATATCTGTTACCTTAACCTTATTTTAGTAAGCTGTATAAGTGCATAAATGTGTGCAATTACTATCAATTAAAACTAAAAAAGCATTTTTTTTAAAGGAAGTTGCAAGACAATGTCTAAACACAAGTCTTCCAAGAACAGTTATATGATCAGAAGTATGCTTTGGGTCCTCCAGTTTTTCCAGGACAGAAGAAAAGCATACACTGACAGTCAGTTTAAAACTATCTTAAATTTTTTGTGGTACTAGGGACTTGCACATGTTAGGTTAAGTCCTTTACCACCTAGCTACATTCTTAGCTCAAAACTATACATTATTTTTTAAAGATTTAACTATGTGTGCAGGTCTGTTTAGTGTAGGTACCTGTACTCAAATGCGGGTCCCCTCAGAGGCCAGATAAAGGCACTGGATCTCATGGAGCTGGCGTTACAAGCAGCTGTCAGCCATCTGCTGGGACCCAAGCTCCAGTTCTCTGTGAAGCAGCAAGTGCTCTTCACGGCTGAGCAGTCTCCCTAACCCTCCCAAACCACTAAGAATAAAAATGTCCCCCAAATAAAACAGAGTAAAAGTAATTGTTTAGTTCTATTTAGTGAATAACCTTAGCACAAAGTGCTTTAAGATAAACATTACAACACAACTCCTAATGAAAAACAGTAAATTATAAAACCAGAAAAACAGGTGAGATGAAAAATATATCCAATCAAGTCTCAACAGTGGCAAATAATAATTCTGCCAACCGTAATGTGATTAAAGGTTGCCGCCCACCCCTGTATGTAGACCATGAACATTTAAACAAATTCCATAACTGACAGCTGTTTCCCTGGTGACAGGAATCAGGTAGTACTCAGTAACAGTCCTGCATTCACAGGACTCCTCTTTCCAAAGCCAGAAGCAGCCAGCAGGCCTCGTGTCTTATCACCTTAGCTGTGAAGACAACTGCTACCACTGCTGGTGTCTGTGCAGTCTAGGTGCTGCACTGGGTGCTGAGCTCAGCACTTCACATGCACTCTCTTCAGTCATCCTCTGGACCATCTGGAAGGTTCTAAGGTTACCACTACATTTTATGTGACAATATGAAGGCTCAGAGACGAATCACATGGCTGACGCCACAGATTAACTGCCAGGGCGGAGATCAAACTGCACTGACTCCATCTTAATCTGAACAGAAACCACAAGCTTGTTCAGAGAGTTGGAAGGATCAAACAAACACAACATCTACGACTGCGGCAACTCATACAGAACAAAGGACAGACGGCCATAATGGCTTTTCCAATATTAGAAAGAAAGTGTAGAGCAGTGGTTAGCAGAGACAGAAACAGGGCAGGGCAGGCATAAGGATAAGCCAGCGAAAGCATTCAGTGCTCCAGCAAGGAGTCAGCCTGGTAGGTTTTGGTACAGCAGAATGAATGTGGTTACAGGAGTACACAGCTGTAAATAGAGATTTTTTTTAATGTACTCACCAGAGTAACTTGTGACAGACCTGCCAATTACCTGGATTTGATCATCACCCCATGTACATATAAATCAAGATAGCACATGGACCTCAGAGGCACACAACTAAAACTCAAAGATAACACCTGGGGAAGCCAAAGCAGGAGAATCACAAGTCTGAGCGCAGCCTGTGCTAAGTCGAGTTCCAGGCAGCCTGAGACTGAGCCCTGTCTCAAAAAGCAAAACAATTTCTTCCCCCGCCCCTTCTTTTTCCTCTTCCTTTTCTTCTTTGGTCTTTTTGAGACAGGGTCTCCCTGTAGCCCCAGCTGGCCTGGAACTCACTATGTAGACCAGGCTGGCCTTGATATCACAGAGATCCACCTGCCTCTGCCTCCTGAGTGCTGGGATTAAAGGCACGACACCACACCCTGCCCAAAGAAGTTTTTAAAAAATGAAAAAAGAGGAAGAACTGCTCCGCACCTACACACACTACCCGGTCTCCTGTCAGCAAAGCAGCAACTGACAGAGGCAGAAGCAGGTTAACCGGAGGAACCAATGGAGGCACAACTCAGCTCTACGGCCAAAATGGAATTTGGTGTGTTTGAGGTGAAGCATGAAAAGCAGCGCTTATGTAGCTGGATCTCCACAGCTTAGTGAGAAGGCCTGTGCTGCTGGTACCTGGGCCTCTCTCTCTACCATGTCACAACTAGTACTAAAAAACAATATGGCACTATGGCAAAATACTCATATAAAATGTGTAATCCACAACACCATGCAGTTATAAAAGGACAAAATTGTAGGCTAAATGTACTAGATCCATTTTAGAAAATCAAAAGTTCAAGCTGGGCATGGTGGTGCACGCCTTTAATCCCAGCACTTAGGAGGCAGAGGCAGGTGGATCTCTGTGAGTTCAAGGCCAGCCTGGTCTACATAGTGAATTCCAGGACAGCTGGGGCTACAGGGAGACCCTGTCTCAAAAAGACACCCCCCCCCAAAAAAGAGAGAGAAAATCAAAAGTTCTAAGATTAAGTTATTAAAACAGTTTTTTTCTAAGACAACTCTCATTGCAGGATGTTTAGCAAAATACCTTGGAGACACCAAAACAATACCACTTCCCTCACAGATGCCCATGCTGCACTGTTGAATGGAGAGAGGGTCCGGGTGGAGGACAGGTATGACTCCTGGCTGAGAACTAGCTCGCTAAACTGGAGGCTCACACAGCCCTTTGTACTGCAGTCTTCCTGAACCTCACTCATAATTTTCAGGATGTCAGTATGCAGTTGTAAATTTCAGGGTAGGTCTTAGATGTGTGCTTCAACTGAAAAGCCCAGCAAAATTCTTTGACAACAGAGTGTGCTTTCCGCTCTGAGTTCCTCTACAACATAGTTATACTGACAACAGTCTCTTCAGATGTATCCTGAGGTGTGAGGTCCAAAGACAGTCAGAAACTAAATATAATTTGTCTTAACAAAACATGTTCATATGATCTTGAATTGTGACTCCATTTACATCAAACGCTGTTCCAAGTTTCAGAGTACCTTGTTTTCTAGCTTTGGGGAGACCAACCATCAAGAATGAGGAATTTTCTGGGATATGCCTCTTAGTGCCCAAACCAACACAATCCTGGGCAAAGTGGGTCTAGTGGCCACCTTACCTGGTACTCAAATATTTACCGAGTGAAAGACAAATATGATCCCCTGAATCTGTGAAACTTCAACAATGAGAAGAAACAGGCACAGCCTCTGCACATCAATTACTAAATCTTTCCATCCAATTTAAGACTCTGTTACCTGAAACAAAATCAGCCACGCTCTTGTTTCTTTCCCTCTCGAGTTTCAAATTCTCTATGTTCAGATGTTTAATGTAATCAGAGGACACTGTAAACTCATATCCACAACCTGTTGTCTCTGGTCATGGACATATTTATTCAACTAATAACTCTACTTGAATACTATTTAACAGCAAAGTAGTCATAACTGTCCAAAAGACAGTCAGAGATTTCTCCCTTAAAAACTGCTCCTCCCCAAGATCTCTCCACCTCCATTAATGTACACCAATCTATGTAGTTTCTCAAACCCAAACCTAGACGCCCCCAATTTCTCCCCAATTTCTTTAAACCCAACATCTAATTCATCAAGAAAACCTGATGATTGACTACCAAAAAGGTAAAAGAGAATCCTGGATCCATCTATTTCTCATTCCCCTGGCATCAGCACTTAATTCAACAAATGTTGAAACGTAAAGCCTAATGTCTGTGTGACATCAGTAGCCCAGGAGCGAGCACTGGGAACAAGACAAAGGCACACCTCAACAGTCTACACAGCCTCTTCTGTCTCACTTAGACTAGCTTCATCAGCTAAACTGGTCTTCCTGTACATCCCTTGCCTATATCCCAGATTATCCAGAATATTCTCTTTACAACAGCTTGAGTAATCTTTGAAAATATTCCTTCTTGCTTAAAAATTTCCAACGGCCTCTCTACTAGTTAACTTTTCTCATCTCTGTGATAAAAATCTGACATAATTTAAAGGCACAGAGATTTATTTTGGCTCAGTTTCAGGAGGTTCAGTCCAGAGTCATGTGGGAATGTGTTCCTGAGCCCATGGCCAGGTGGAAGGTCACGGTGGGGGGGATCATGATAGGAGGAGGCGGCTGGTTAACCAGCAGCAACAGGAAGAGGCCTGTGCCAGATACAGCCCTGTTGGGGGACCCTGCTAAGGTTGCAGTCCACCATGTCTGGATAGCTCTAAGGGGCTTGGCGCTATATGGAAGGACTCCCTTTCTCAGCGGGGGCCTCCTGCTCTCTGTCTGACTTACCTGGAAAGTGCCGCCAAGCATGGATGTCTGACCTTATTTGGAACATGACCTTTGGCATGATTACCTCCAATAAAACTGCCCCCAGGTTTTTTCTATATGATAATTAGGCATTGCCCTATAGTGGGATGATAGGATCCCCCTACCACATGTAAATAAAGCATACTGTGAGCACTTATCAGCTGAAGCTTTGGCTGCTGCCTCCACACTATATTTTCCCTAACCCCCACTGAATAAACGGAGCTGTTTCACTGAATCTGGAGCTGTATCACTGAATCTGCCTCCCCAGAAAGTCTTTTCCGTTAAGCTCACTGGCCGTCCTGAACCCGTTCGTCGCTTCTGCTCCCTTTGTCCTTGTGGACCGGTGGCCAACAGCCCTCGAGGGGAGGGAGAGACCCCACAGCTGGTGCCCAAACACGTGGAGTTTGTGAGTACCCCCTCTCTCCAAGAGGGTAGCAGCAGCTTTGCCTTAGCCATCCCACCCTTGAGGATCGGCAGTCTCTCCTCTTTTTCCTCCTTTTATTTTCAGTCTGAGTCTTCGCGTGGGACCGTTAAAGATGAAGGAGCTGTATCACTGAATCTGACTCCCCGGAAAGTCTTTTCCATTGTGCTCACTGGCCGTCCTGAACCTGTTTATTGCTTCTGCTCCCTTTGTCCTCGTGGATCAGTGGCCAACAGCCCTGGAGGGGAGGGAGAGACCCACACAGCCCCAGAAACATGTCCCCAGTGACACATCTCCTCCATCCAGACCCTGTTTCCACTCTTCCACCTCTTCCTGGTCATCTGTCAAATTCTGACTCTTTCAAGGAATTAAACCACTCACTAGTTAGTCCCAGTCCACAGATGTATCCAGGGGATTTACTCGTCTCCTAGGTATTTATCAAATCAGTCAAACTGACAATGCACATTAATTCTCACCACTTCCCATCGCACTTAGAACAGTCTAAATCTTTACCCCATGTGGACCGGTCTCCTCTACAGCTATCTTCTGTGGCAGCACTCCTGCTGGAAGCCCTCTGCACACATCAACCCTTGGCCTGAACTGAGTTTCAGGTAGCTGAGCTGTTTCTTGTCACTCAGGTCCCTCTTGACCTCCACAGAGGCCTTCCCTGATCACTCCTGTTAAAGGGGCTGTATTACCCTGCCTGCTGTCTTTGTTCGGTGTGCTTGTCCCTGCTTTTATGTTTACCTCCTATCCTATCACAATGCAAGCTCTGGATGAGATGGGTTTAGTCCACTTAGTTCACTACCGTGTCCTCAGGGTCTGCAACACAATTAGTTAGGAAGGATGGACAGGAAGAAAAGTACATCCTATTTTTTGAACAAGGTACAAGTGCTGACTCAGACTGCCTGACACCCGTGCCTCCCCAATCTTGGTTCAGCTTCCTTTAACACTCCACACACCAGAACTAGAGACAGAAACAAATAAAATTCGAAACATTGGGGGGGGGCAGTGTCTTAGTATGTAGCCCAGGCTGCCCTGAACTCCTGATTCTATAGCCTTAGCTTCCCTAGTAGCTAGGATTGCAGGATGTACTATTATGCCTGACCAAAATAAACAATTTTGATAATTAGTTTCATTGTATTATAAAAGTAAACACTGTCATAAGATTGGAGAAGATGGAAACACTGACTCTTCTTGTGAGACAGATGGTGAAATGCCTTCAGACTCCTGTCACAGAAGAAAACCCTGCTGTAAGGTGAGTGAGTTCATCTTTTCTGTGTTTATCTCACTCCTTCTACTTCTTACTGGAGACAGTGACGAGACCCTAAGTATTCATTGCACACTCACAAATCAGGTGCTTGCTTAAAGACTGAAGTGGAGGGGCTGGAGAGATGGCTCAGTGGTTTAGAGCACTGACTGTTCTTGCAGAGAACCCAGGTTCGATTTCCAGCACCCACATGGTGGCTAATAACCGTCTATAACTCCAGTTCCAGGGGAATCCAACCCACTCTTCTGACCTCCTCAGGCAATTCAGGACATGGAGGCACTTACACACATGCAGGCAATACACTCATACACACAAAAGTAATGAACAAAATATTTTTTTTAAAAAAGACTGAAGTCCAGCAGGTTGGATCCTTGGGGTGTGTTTGATGTTCCGTATTCTAAAGCACTGAGACCTGTAAGAATTCTTCTCTGTGGAGATTTGTTACATTTTACCCTGACCTTTTAAGGGCCCAATAGGTAAAAAGTAACTAGTTCTATACATTCCAAAATGATCAGTTATTAAAAAATAACTTTCAAACAATTACTCATCAACACTGTGACTACTCTGCACAGGAAGAGGGGGAGGGAACCCTTATACATACTAACCTCTTCAAAGCCCATTTCAAATAAACACTCAACGGCTCCTCTGACAGGCAAGAGTCTGGTAGAAAAGGCTGTGTTTCCAATACGGATAGATCTGTACTTCTCATCACTGGGGTTTCTGATAAAAGAAGAAAAGAAGTTGGATGACACACAGCAGTCTACACTTCCCATGTCTGTGTGCCCCTTGAGCTGCGTTCCTACACAGCGGCACCCCCCACCTTAGAGTGAGCAGTGCAGACACGCAGTTCCACTCTGTCTCACCTCAGTGCACACTGAGTGCACCCTGGTCCAGTTGCACAGATGCATTATTAGTGATGCCAGAGGAAACCTGCGTGACACCTAACTCTGCGCAGTTACAGCCAGATACCTTCCGAGTCCTTACCTTTCTAGAAGATAATCTGCAAAAGCTTCCAACAGAGGCCAGAGGACTAGTTGTGTCCTGAGGAATCCAACCATCTAGAAAGTGCCCAGCACAACGCTGTAAACAAGAAGCATCTGCATGCTGAATCACAGCTGAAAAGCTCTTCCAACATGAAGCCGGATGGTCACCTGGCTTCCTTTCTTCCCTGGGCCAGGGACTGTTCACAAGTTCTGGTTCATTGAAGATACATTTCTGGCATGGGAAGGATGGTGATAAAAGAAAACGTGCACTTCTTTTGGCTGTAACTGACTTTGAGCAGCATATATGGGTGAGTGGCCAATATACAAAAACCTTTACTGTGAGATGTTTAATAATCTTGAAAAATAAGATTATTATTACACTTTTAAAAACCCTCAGAACATAATTCAGGATGGCACGTGTCATATCTGATTCCGACTGCCTTACAATGCTGTCATTTTTTGTAAGCTCAAGGTCAGGATGGAATGTGTGGCTGTCTGTGTGATATTAGGGATGCTAAGGCTGCCTGCTTGGCATATGGGGAGAGGGTGCGTTAATGCTAGCAACTGACTCACCATCTTTGTCTCACCAATGTATATGCAGTCTCTCGGTATTCTGAAATGAAAACAAAACCAAACTTTTGTTTGTGTTGAGACATGGGCCTGCTGTGTGCTGCCCTTGGACTTAGGGTCGTCCTGGCTCCGCTAAGTACTAGAACTGCAGGCCAGAGCCACTAGCCTACCTAAAACTCAAATGTTTTAATTCTGCAAGTTTAATGAATTTTGTACTTGTTTTCTAAGAAACCTTATACTGCCAATTGTCACAAACCTAAAATAAATCAATCTTTCTCAAGAGCTTCCCCATGATTTCAAAAATTATACAACTTTTTTTCCCACAGAACACTCAGAGACAAAGCTCTATGTACTACTGTTCACACATCAGAGACGGGCGCTGATCTACAAACTCTCTTCCTCGAGAATTCCAGGACTCAGTATTCAATAATCTTTATAGCAATTTGATGCTACCACGAAATTTTTACTCTATCCTGTAAAATTTGTAGGAAGCTAGGAAACTGTCTTTTTACAGGCAACTGGAGAGGGTATCACTGAGAGCTGAGGGAGCACCACCCTCTCCGCACACTGTTTTGTAGTTTCCCAGTCTTCACACTGTGACACTTGGGCCATGGCTGAGGCAGCTACAGAATACTCAGCATCTCTCTGCTTTCCACGTCACACCATTTCACAAACAAAATTAAACTCCAAAATAATCCTACATTTCCCAACGCTAATTACAGACAACTATGGCAAGTTTGTGCAACACATCATGAGGTTATAAGCATGTCAGTACCACCCCAGAGGACATATCCCACTGTTTAAGAACCCGGTGCTGTTAATCCTTTCCCCAGCAGCTGCTGGGGCTCTATACTGTCATAAGGCATTTACGGTTCTCTCATACTACAGCCAGGGTCCAGCAATGATGATCGTGTCTAGCTACTCAAATTCTACTCTTTCTCCCCCTCAGGCTGGCTTTGTACTCAAGGCTCTCTTGTTTTGGTCTCCTAACTGCTGAGATAACTTGTGTGCATGACCATGTCCAGCAGCCCAATCCTTATTTTTTTCTTATTAAACATGCTAAAGGGTTAAGCATAGACTAATGCCAAGTCTGCCCTGTAGTGTCTGTGGCACCCTGGACATTCACACTGAGTTTTGCTCGATTTTCCATCAACTCATTTTTCTCTGAAGATGTTTCTGGTTTTGCTGTCAGGCTGTGATGCCCCTCCCCACCATCACTGTAATCTATTAACTAGTTCAGAAACTTGAAAGACTTATCTTACTTGTTAGTACTTACTTGGGACATTTTTCTGGGTGGGCAGTTTTTGATGATGAAAAGGAGAGAATCTCGACTAGGTGGCAACATTTCCTGTCCGTTACTTTTATCACTCTGAAAATATTCCATCTTCCTAGCTGTTTTACTCCCATAGTAATCTCCCAAGTTATTTAATTTCCAGAAAAATAATCTTTGCTCTTCTGAGAAAAGTCAGACTTTTTACCTTTTCTGTTTGTTGTTTCACTTTAGATGGGCTCTTACTCTGGCCTCAAACTTGTGACAATCCTCCTACCTTAGCCTCCCAAGTGCTGGGATTACACGTGTGAGCCACCACACAGGACTCTGACTTTAAAAGTCACAACTTACTCTCTAAGACAGTAAAACATGCTAACAGTAAGCAGCAACAGCACCTGACAGAAAAGACAACTGTTAATGCTCATCTTTCAGACATGCTGAGGGTTAACCTGATCATTTACTAAGCTTCTTCCTCTTTAGAATACACAACCCCACAGAGTGCACAGAAACAAAATTTAGTACAGATGCATGCTACATCTACTGCTACTCACAGTGCTGTTTTGTAGGCAATTGTAAAACTCTGTACCTACTCCTGGAAATCTGTCATTCTGAGAAACATTTCAACTTTTCAAAAATCTGTATCTGCTTTTGGAATGATTCACCAATGGCTAAACCTCTACCATTCTCTATGCTTACAGGCAAAAGTTGTACACCCATACAGGTGTGGCGGGGCACACCTGCAATCCTAATACTTGGGGTACGGGCTCTAGGTCACTCTACATTCCACAGTGAAAGTGTCTCAAGAACCAAACGATCCACCAACAAACCAGGAAAAACAAACAAAACCCTCATCCGTGGGTCACAAAACAAAGCAACTCGAATGCAGATTTGCAGAAAGGAGGGGTGATGATGGGGAGACAGGTAAGACTAAACAGAACACATTGTATATACATCAATGAAACTGTTCCAGAACAAATTTAATCAATAAAAAGTCACCACTCTTTAGCTTACTTTCGTTTAACGTAATAACAGGGAGCATCAGTAGCAGCTGCATGTGTCAAGTCCTTTATTTTCATATTTTGTGGAAATCCTAGAATATATTACTTATCTCCCCTTTTATAAATAAGGAAACTCAAACCCAGAAAATGTATATAAATTGGCTGTGATCACACTTAAAACACAGTTGACTAGAGGTGATACTGAGGTGGTTACAAAGTTTACACACACTCTACCACACAAGCTACCAACAAGCTCAACAACCCTCAGCGATCCGCTCTCAGTCCGCGTCTGCAGCGGCCTGTACTAAAACTAGAAGCTAGTGCTATCATTTTGTCTTCTGGAACTTCCTGCAGTGTCGCTGAGAACTGTCAAGGTCTTCTCTGTTCTGTCTGTATTTACAGTTGTGCTTCTCAATGCTTCCTGATTCCAATCAATCCTATCTTCAAATGGAGCTTCACCAAATGTCTCTTCCACTCAGAAACTACGCAGCTTCCTTTGGCCTGTCATCTCTGTGAATGTTCTGCCACTCCAGCAGCTGGTCCTACCTTATCAAACCTCTATTCTCTCCTCTCTCATGTTAGGTCTCTCCATCTCCTCACATAAATGTACAAGCACACACTGTCTTGGAATTGTTCTTAGACTGTATTCCATGGGGCTTTCCATTCCTGTCTCCTAAATATATTCTTTGAACAAAGAAACTACTTTCCAGTTTTGGCTCGTCTCTGTCATGCCCAGTTCAGTCTGTAATTAGTAACTGTCCACTTTGCAAAGCAGATGAGTGCACTATCACATCCTAAAGAATGAATTAGACACCGAGGACATAGTTCAGTTGGTTCTGTTTGTCTAGCATTCATGAAGCCCTGGGGTCAATCCCCAGCACTGCTTAACACCTGGCCAGTGAGGTTGCCCACACCTGTAATCCAGGCAGTGGAGAGGTAGAAGCAGGGTCAGAAACCCAAGGTCGTCCTCAGCTACAGGGCAAATTTGGGGCCAGCCAGGGATATATAAGATCCTGTCTCAAAAACAAAATACGGACTAAATGGACCTAGCAAGCTAGCTGAAAAGCCCATATTAAGTACTGCAGATTTTCTTGAGAAAGTAGATACTAGGGACCCCATCTTTATCTAGAAGTGAGTAGTCTCTTCTGTATGCAAATCTGTCTGTACTTCGTTCTGGGGGATAAGGTAAACATCATCGAAGCAGAAATTTAAAACTCAAAGTATGATTTTAGCATTCCAGATTAGAAATGTAAAGCGACAAGTATCATTTTTTAAATCTAATGAAATGTTCATTTCCGCACTCCTATAAAACACTATGCGCTGTGACTCTGAGGCCGGAGCAAGAGATGGTGAGAAAGTAGCCTTCGAAAGGGCCTCAGCTGTGCGCTTGCGGGTTTTCCAAAAACAGCAATGGGAACAGAAACCCGGACTTTACTCAGATAAATTAGAGAAGTGTAAACAAAGTGTGGCCAGGGCCCAGGAAGGATCTGGAGCTTTTCCATTAGGGTTAGGAAGCCGCTGGATTTGGACATGGAAAAAGGCTGGCTCCCAGCAAGCCAGAGTTTGAATTCTGGGAATAGACGGTCAGGGCATTGGCACTCAGACAAACAGCAGTTCTTCCTATCAACCTGAATTCAGTTCCGCACTCCAAACTGCCTTTTTAGATAAAAACCCAATCAGAAATGCAAGCCACGGTAAAAAGGTCTAGAAGAACCACAGGGCCTGTAGTTGAGAAAGCATTCATGCGACTGTCAAATCATCCGCATGCAAAGCTGTCCTTCCTAACACCCTCCCATCTGCACCCCTGGTTCAGAACTGAGGCGGAAGAAGGACACGGCCACCCCAGTTTTCTGAAGGGCTGGGGGGGTGTGTGTCAAGGCTCAGTGGGAAGTCACAGCTGATGCACCATGCAGAATCCCGCTATGACCCAGCCAGTCCAGGGGCACCCTGCACTGAGCACTGTGACCTCTGGGGATGGAAAGGCTAAGCTGAGGTGTCCAAAGGAGGAAGGTGATGGTCGCACGGATAACAACTACGCAGCTGTGAGCTGGCGGCGTGCGTGGCATCCGGCCTGGAACCGTGGCCCAGCACGTTCTCTACGGTTCACTTTAGAAATCACTCGTGGGGTTTTCACCCAAATGCACAGTCACAACCGCGGAAGCTCAAGCCTGGGACCCCGCCACTGGGCGGCTAAGACAGGAGGAGGCTGAGCTCGAGGCCCTCGTCGGCCACCAAGCAAGTTCCAGGCCAGCCTGGGCTACGGGCAAGGTCCTGTCCGAAACAAAACCCAGCTGTCACCGAGCCAGAGCCCGGCCACAGCCACCAGCTCCACGCCGGGCACTCCCGTGGACTGCGGCCACCACCGGGAAGCGCGGCCGGGCAGGACGTCACCGCGTCCTGGCGCCCCGCGCCCCTCCGCTCTCCCCGGGGCTGCGGCCGGGGCTGACCAGCTTCGCCCGGCGCAGGGAGCGTCTGACGGCCAGGGGAGAGCTTCCCCCAGTCGCCCTGACGTCCAGGGCCACGACCCGGAAGCCGCACACAGTGGGGCTCCGCAACCCGGAAGCCGCACACAGTGGGGCTCCGCAACCCGGAAGCCGCACACAGTGGGGCTCCGCAACCCGGAAGCCGCACACAGTGGGGCTCCGCAACCCGGAAGCCGCACACAGTGGGGCTCCGCAACCCGGAAGCCGCACACAGTGGGGCTCCGCAACCCGGAAGCCGCACACAGAGGACTCTACACCGTAGGGCCGATTCCGGCCCCCGCCCGCGCGCCGTACCTCAGGATGTTGTCGGCGTAGGTGAGCAGCAGCTTGGAGGCTTCCAGAAAGGTCTCCGGGGTGTTCTGGCAGAGCTCCGCCACAGCCGTGGACCGCGAGCCCGCCGAGCCGCCCAGCGCCGCCGACGCCATACCTGACCGCTGCCCTCGCCGCCCTTCGCGCGACGCCGTCCGCACTGAGCAGACGCCTCAGCAGCGCGCGACCACGGCGGAGGCCCGAAGCCAGGGGGCGGGGCCGGGCCTCAGCATGGGGGGCGGGGCCACTCGGAGGGCAGGGGCGGGGCGCAGGCGCAGCGGGCGGCGGGGCTACTAGGAGGACGGGGCGGGACATCGTGACGGAGCAATTGGAAGGACAGGTGCTCAGGGGCCTGGCTTAGCCACGGAGGGGCGGGGCCTCGGCCAGGAGGGGCGGGGCGTAGGCAGAGGGGTGGGGCCTTCACCGTCCGCCTTCAGGACTCCAGCAGTGTCCGGGCCTCTCGGACCCCGGGCCGGCCTGCTGGCACCAAGCCGCCCAAGCCTCTTCCGTTCCCCACGGGTGGTTTTCCAGCCCTCCCTCCGCGAGGGACTAGGTAGATGTAGCCGGAGGAAGGAACATTCCAGAAGGAAAAGGAAGAAAAACTTGTTTTTCCTTCTTTACGTGTGCGTGTGGCAGGTGTCCCTGGCTCAGGCTGTTCTGGAACTCGCGACAGTTCTGCCTCAGCCTCCCTTGCTGCTTCGGCTTGAGCCACTGGCTTCAGCAACAAAAGCGCGGCTCTGAGCTCGGCTGGGCTTCGCATATGAGGATTCTCTTCCGACTGTGAATGAACGTCACCTAAGCCCCAGCTTACAAGGTATGATCTGCTGGGAAGCGCCTTTCAACAGTCATATACCATCAACGAGTTGTGGCCTCAGTTTACCTTGCGGTGGCCCGCATAAAAAACACACAGTGCTAGACCGGAATCGGGGAGGAGGAAGGCAGTTTGCACACACACACTGAATGGCTACTTGGACTCATGCGGGATGGCCTCCATCAATACACTTCATCCCTCTGAGAAAATGGATCCCTGGCCCCTGGGTGCAGCCTGTGCCTCGCCAGTCCTTTGCAGATTCCTTTACCAATGGTTTCTGTTTTGGAAATTCCAAACCTTAACAAATGCATGTTCCCTCTCACTGGGAACTGAACCCAGGAACCACCCACTTGCTAGGCAGACCTGCCACCTGACCAATGGATGAATTTAGTAGATCCTGATAGGTAAAGTAGCGGATGGATGAATTCAGTTGGTCTGGAGAAAGCACCAGGACACAGATAAAACTCCAGCAGGGGGCTGGGTGTGGTGGTGCACACCTTTAATCCCAGCACTTGGGAAGCAGAGGGAGGTGGATCTCTGTGAGTTCAAGGCCAGCCTGGTCTACATAGTGAGTTCCAGGACAGTTGGGGCTACAGGGAGACCCTGTCTCAAAAAAAAAACAAAAAAACAAAAAAAAAATAAATAAAATAAAACCCCACCAAACTCCAGCAGGATTTATTAGCAAAGGAACACAGGACGAATTCCCTTCGGGGCAGGGAAAATGACATGGGACAGATTCCCTTCCAGGCAGGGAAAAAAATGTCTACCCCAAGTAGTGAGCTGGGGTCTTTTAAAGGGGGAGGGTTCTGCTTCCTGCAGAAGGCAGGAAGATGTACTTTTTTAAAGCTGGGTGGGGGTTGAGGGGAGGGAGAGCAGGACTGTTAAAACCTGCTCTCTTTAGAGTTCAAAGGGGAAGCCTGCTGTATTGGCCAAACATTGGAGAAAAGTCTGCTTCTCTTGACTTCAAAGACCAGGGTGCTTATTAACTCAGTTCCCTTTTCTCAGGGGCTTGTGAGCTCCATGAGGCCCTGTTGGTGAAAGGGTGGGGCTATCTAAACCTTAACACCACCCACCACTGAACTACACCCCCAGCCCTTAATTTAAAAAAAATTGATTTTGAGACAGTATTGTCACTAAGCTACCCCTGGAATTGAACTCACTTTGCAGCCCAATAGAACTGGAACATTCTATTCTCCTCTCTGACTCCTTGAATAGCTGGAATTAGAGGTGTGCACCACAGGATTAGTTAGCAAATATTTTTCTTGGTCTTGTTTTGAAGATGTTTACTTAAATAACCTCTTTCCTTACTACTTTATCTTCTGTTGCTTTTAACGTTTGAAATCTAGTATTTCTGAGCAATTTCTTCTGAGCATTTCCTTTAGAATTTCTAAATATTTACCTGACAAATATAGCTTTTTAGTAATTAGGTTTGTGAACCAACTTCCAAGAATGCTGTATTCAGCTGGGTTTGTTGGCAAATGCTTGTAATCCCAGAATTTGGGATGTGAAGGCAAAAGAACCAGGAGTTCAAGGTCAGCCTTGGCTGTGTACTGAGTTTGAGGCCAGCCTGAGCTACAGGAGACTCTGTCTCTTGTCTCTCTCTCAAACACACACACACACACACACACACACACACACACACACACACCATGGATGTATTAAGGGAGAAGGGATTCAGGGGAAGGAGGAAGGTGTAAGGATAACAAGGGGCTGGTCAAAGAACATTACATGTACATAAAATTGTACATGGACTTTAAATTTTTTTTTTTAATTAGAAGAAGCATTTCATTACAACAGCATTAACCTATTCAATAACATTTTTTCCGAGCTAGGGTACATCTCTTTCAAAATTGGCTGTACATTTTTAGGTTTACAGATGAATTATTATGCTTATACAATCTTTTACTCATTATAAACTCTATAAGACATAAAATTAAATGAGGTTCCAA